ACTCCCTCTCAGACAATTTCTGTACTGCCAAGAGAATTCTTTTTTAAAAAATAGCTTAGAAATTTGATGAATCCCTACTACCCAGAGAGTCTGAATTCCCTCCTTTGTATGGCATCAAAAGGGCACTAGACTAGAGTTAATTTCTCAGCACCATCTCTCACATACCCTATCCTACTCTTCATTCATCACAAAGTACAACACACAACCCCTTCAAATCCTCTGTGTCTTTGCATTCCCATTCCCTCTGCCCTATACCCTTTCTCCCTTCTCTGCATCAAAAACGGCCATTTGTTAAGTCTTGCTCAGATATCACCTTTTTGGTAAAACCTTCCTGAACTCAAGCCTGAAAAAAAAAAAAAAAAACTTCCTGAATTTCTCCTCTTAGGATACGACAATAAACAGGTATTCATGATTTGTACTACCTCAAAGAACAATTTACTGTTGGAAAACTCACAGAAAAATTGTCCTGGTCTAACAAAGCACCTGATTGAACAAAAGATTTCAGACAGTAAATACCTTCCAGTCTTTGGGATCAAGTGTTTTCAGCATGGGGAACTCTTCTAATTGCAATTCTTCATCTTCGGATTCCTCTGATAATTCTTTCTTATCCTCCAGTTCCTGGAACGAGGCAGAAACATTTCTGTTTCTCCTCTTAATAAATGCTTCGAACCATCTTCCCACGGGTTCAACTTGATAGAGTGTAGAGGCTGTGATTGAAACGTTGAGAGGCGCAGAATAAATGTAATGCACAGAATAAATCTGCTCCAGGGCAGCGCTTTTGGTCAGGAAATACGATCAGAACAGTGAGATTTTCAGCATATACATTAAGGTCATCAACGAAGAAAATAAGTGCAACAATATAACATGAGGACTAGCATTACTCACTCTAGCACTCAAGCATCTTCCAGCCAGAGTAAAACAACCTGCAACGTCAGCAATAAACCAACTGTGTCCTGGGGAAAGGAGAAGGCGGTGGAAAAGAGGGGAAGACATTGGAAAACCACCTAACTTTTAAACCAACAATTGTAGTAAAGCAATAAATACGGGTAAAGTATCACCAGGAGCTAGTTTCTTTTTAAAACACACACACACAACAACAACAAAACACACACACACACACACACACCAAACAACAACAACAAAAAACACCTCAAAACATCTCAGATAATGATCTGTGAATTTAAACAGCTCTTAAACTTAAAATTCACTAGCAATGACTTAATTTGAGAGACAATTTCCCAAGCACCTAATGGGGATCAAGTGGAACATGCTTTCGGTGTGAACCCGAAGCTGTGGGCGTTAGTCCCGTTCCTGCAGTTCATGGCTATGCGTTCTGAAATGAGTGAGACGGCTTCAACTGTAAGAAGGGAAGACTACACACTTCACATATTTCCCAGGAAGATTGAATAAGAAACTCTGAAAGCAATTTGGAAATCACTAGCTGATGCCCAGAAGTGACACTTTACTCCTGGGATGTGGAGGTAAATCACTGCATAGTTCAAAAGGCCATTTGGAAAAAACACGAACTCCTTAGTTTTGATTTCCTACTTCGCAAAAAAGCAACAACAGAAATTTCTAGTAATGAATAACTATCATTAGTCTGGAATGAACAACTCACTGGGTGGTCACGGTTTGATCTTTTCCCTCCATGTTTTAATTGGTTTGGAAAATTAAGATTTTCTCCACAGGAGAGAATTCAAATGCTTTCTTTTCCTTGTATTTTCCCATTTGATTTTTTTTTGACGCCCCCTCGTATGTACGTGAAATCCTATTTGGTTCGTGTGGGAGTGGCTTTTTCCTCGAGAGTCCAGATGAACGATTATCAGACACTTTCCTAAGTACAAACCCAACAGGTCCCAGGAGACCCGTTCGGAATCCCAAAGCCGTGCCGAACGTTTATATGAATGAGAATTGGAATCAATGGATAACATTGAAGGGGAGTCTAAGTTTACACTATCCCAAGGCTGTCCTTGCCTGTGTATCTAAGAATCAACAACAGTAGGACAATTTCACGTGTAGTGACTACTTTTCGACATGTCTACACGAATCTTAACTAGCAGCACTGGGAAGGGTCTTTTAACGTGGACTACCAGAAGCGTGTTTGATGGCTGACATTTACAAAACAAAGTAGAGGCAAAGGTAAGGGGGTAAAAATGTGTTTAATAGAGAGCTGGTAGCAAGGCTCTGCACGACCCCAGGCATGTGGGGTGCTCGCTACGGGGCAACCTCTTCGCCGTAACCAGGAGATCCCGGTGGGGGCTTTTTGGAGTCTTGGGGTCTCGGTCCAGAACTACTCAGCCGAATCTATGAATGAGAAGGGAGGCGTGGAAGAACCCGGACGGGCAGCGGCTAGCCCGCTTCCAAGCTGGGGGAGGATTAGTGTACAGCAAGGAGCAATAAAGTCGCCGCTCTCCTTGCACGGGAGCGAGTCGCCGGGGTCTATGAGGGAGAGGCTCCGGGTCCGTCGGAGAGCGTCCAGAAGTCGGGGTGGCTGCGCGGTAAGGAGTCGGGGTGGGTGGGCACGTACCCGAGGTCAGAGCGTGGACGACAGCGGTGCCCTGACCGTCCGCGGCGCTCGGCAGCAGCAGCATGATGGCGCCGGGCCCAGGCCCGCCGGCGTGGCGTTTCGCGTCCCGGGCGGAGGGTACCGAGCGTTCCCTCAGGGTCTAGCTTCCCGTCCGAGCCTCGCGCCTTGGCTTTACGACGCCCAGGAACCGGCGCATGGAGACGGCCAATAACCACTTCCGGGATGACGTCTACGTGGTGCCGCTGAAAATCCCGTCCCCCTGCTGCCAGCGCGTGCAGGGGCTTGTTCTTCACTCGCTCGGATCCGGCTGGGGCGAGAACTCGCGAAAGAACAGTTCCTAGACCTAACAATACACGAGTGAAAAATGATTATTTTCCTCGTTTGAATGCAATACGTAAAAAAATAACTTTATAAAACAGAGCTTTCCATGTTCTGTTTAAGATTCTGTTAGTTTGTGTAAAGTTTGACTCTAACCACCGGTTTTACCAGTAGCTCTACTTGTAATTATACTTGTAACTATACTAATCATTCATTCACATCTTGATAATTCAAATGGGAAGAGAGGTGAATGAGTGACTTCTGTAGTATTCAATCTATACCCAAACTCACTTCCAGTTAGTCAATTCTGATTCATTTTTATCCTACCTTGGCTTTCCGAGAGACTAAATCTTTACCAAAGCAGGCCTGGTTCCACCTTGCCCTTAACACCTAATTACTGCCATCGAGTTGCTTCTCACACAGTGACCTTATATAGGGTTTCCCTATATATCTTTATGGGAGGAGATTCACTCACTATGACCTAGTCATTTTTGGCTGGCAGTGATTCTATAGGACTGAGCAGAACAGCCCCGCTAGCTTGGCAGGGCTGTAAGTCCTTAGGGAAAGCCTCACCATTCTCTCACCATCGGCTAGTTAGTAGTCACATACTTACCAGACAAGACCTCCACGGCTTCTTATAGAGAACGATAATCACACGCACATGTATTACACACAATATATAAACATGTTTATATTTATACTAAATATATATATATAATACATGTACCTGTGATGCATTTATGTTCACCTAGTAGAAGTGGATGTTTGTTTTCCTGTTACTAAGTCGTTTACCTTTATGATCTCATTTAATCCTAATATTTGTAGAAGAAACCCCCTCTCTAGTGGTAGAGGCTATCCAGGTCCAGCTGAATTTTTATGCTGCTTCTTGGGAGTCCTGGTTGCTGAGTGGGTCTGCCAACCACGGTCAGACTCTCCGACAGAAAGATGATGCTTCCTCCTCCAATGCAGAGTGAGAGTCCTGGAAACCCCTGGGGATAGTTCTATCCTGCCCTATCGGGTCACTATGAGTCAGAGTCAATTCGATGGCAGTGAGTTTGGTTTTTGGAGAGCAGGGTTGAGGAACGTCTGGCCCAAGGGCCTTAAACGGACTGGGAAATCATTAATACCAGCTAACACCACAAGCCTCATCAAGAGAAGCCGTTCTAGCAGTCACATTAGGGGTGAGTTAATGAAATGTTTGCCCAAATACAGAAGGCTCATTTTTTAAGTTGATAATTTTGTATGGCCTGTGAATGATGCTATAAATATCCAAATTTTTTGCTCTTCAAGTAAAAACTGCTCCTCACTCCTTCTCGAGTGTATTTTAGCCGTTTATCGTGTTGTATTGGTCTGTACATCTGCTGTACGTCAAAATGGTATTTGAAACTGGCATTTCAAAAGCTGAACTAATCATATCCTCACAAACCTTTTTCTTAAGCCTTTTTCTAGTAATGCGTTAAAACAAGGAGTAAGTAGTGGTCTCACTCCACTTTCACAATACTATTTGTTTTTATTTCTTCACTCCTGTGATGAAAGTGCCCTTCTTTAGTGTCAAGTTCAAATTTCGAAACCTTTTTGCCTCTATGTAATGAACGATTTACTTTCCCTTTCTGTAAATCTAGCCACTGCTTGCTGCACATTTAACATGCCAGGTATCTTAAAAGCTCATTTAATGCCTCCACCTCCTGGAAGGTGAAGGTCAAGTGTGCACGTAGTCAGGCTCGGATATGAAGGAAACTACCCAAGACTGACGCACAAAAGAGGAGCAGGAGCCCTAGTGGCGCAGTGATTGCAGGTGAGGCTGCTAAGCCCCGGCCAGGCGCTCCCGCCCGGAAGGAGTTGTCCAGTCCTGCGCGGCCCTGTGGTGGCTGGGGCTGGCCCAGACGCGCTGGCAGCGAGTTAGGCTTGGGTTTTGTGGCACAAAAACGACCGAATGAGGACCGAACTCTGTGGCCACCTGAGGCTCGTTGCTCTGGGAGCCGGAGGAAAGAACACGGACGCGCCCTCTCACAGGGAAGTCCCTTTCCATACGTCAGTGGTCACCGGAGACCTCCAGGAGAGCGGAGCCTCAGGCGCGGCCTGCAGCGCCGTCTTCCGGCGCGCGCCGGAACGCGGGCCGCGCCGCCGGGTTCTACTTCCGGTGGGGGAGGGGAAACCGAGGGCAGCGCCGGAAGCGAAGAAGGTGCTGTGTAATCCTGAGGAGTTGAGGCACCTGGCGTTTCCACCATGCCCGACTACCTCGGAGCGGATCAACGGAAAACCAAGGAAGAGGAGAAGGAAGACAAGCCCATCCGAGGTCAGTGGAGCGAGGCTGGAGCTCGGGCCGCGGCGGGGCGAGGCGGGAGTCCTGCTTCCGGCCCGGCTCTCGGGCCCCGTTGTGCTGCTGGTGCTTTTACACCGGCTGCCTCTTCAGCCTCGGTCAGCGCCCGCTCAGGATGCGTTTCCTGCCCCCCTGGTCGGAGAGCTCGTCCTCAGCGCCGGAGGAGGCCGGCGCTCCGCCGGCCGCGCCAGCCGCGGCTAACCCCCGCCTCGCAGCGTCCACTCACCCGGGCCTCGGTCCTGCCGCCCGTGCCCTCCCCGAAGGGTGCCGTGTGGACGCCCACCCGCGGAACATAGTGCTCTTTGAAAAGCAATTCCTTGCACTACATAGCACAGAAAAAGCGTTCAAAACTCGAAAGGCAGAAACGGAGACACAAGTTTTCCATCCTTGGCCCCAAGCACCCCCTTTTTCTCGGAGACAGCCAGTGCGGCCGTGGTGCTTTGCATGTATACTCGCCTTTCACGCCCGTGTGTCATACTGAGCTTACACCTCGCTAGTTCTTAGGGTTAATCTGTCGGAGAGATAGTAGTGTCATTAGATACAGAGCCCGTGTTCTCGGGGTGTCTCTGCATTTGCTTGGTACCCTATTATGTGGGTGGACGATAACATATTTAATTGTTATTATTGATAAGCACTAAGGTGTTTTTTTCAATCTGTTGTACTTACAAAACGCTGAGTATAAAACTTTTACCACACGTGTAAAACATAAGCTGTCGGGTACATCTTATAAATGGAATCGTAATTGTGATCGACCCTATCAAATGCTTCTTCCCTAGAGATGATACCGGTTGACAACCCCACCTGTAGGACATAAGCTCTGCCCACGGTTTTCAGACATTTCTTCGCAGATGTCTTCTTGCAGCCTCATCATAATGCCGGTTTCTCCTTTGGTTCTTTCTGTAAGCTAACCTTCCCCTCTTACTCTTTCTTTGCTAGACAGAGTTACAGATCTCCTGGCACCCGTTCTTCATCTCTACCTTCCACACACATTTCCTCTCTGCTTTATTCGTGCTCAACTAGAACTCCCTTTTTTAAAAAGTGTTTTATTGGGGGCTTGTACAGCTCTTATAACAATCCATACGTGCATCCATTGTGTCAAGCACATTTATACCTATGTTGCCATCATTTTCAAAACATTTTCTTTCTACTTGAGCCCTTGGTATCAGCTATTAATTTTTTCCCTCCCTCCCTCATGTACCCTTGGTAATTTATAAATCATTATTTGTTCATGTCTTGCACGTCTGATGTCTCCCTTCATCCACTTTTGTCCATCCCCCAGGGAGGGGGTTATATTGATCATTTTGGTCCATGTCCCCTTTCTTCCCCCACCTTCCCCTTCCCCTCCTGGTGCTACTCATTGGTCCTGAGGGCTTTATCTGCCCTGGATTCCCTCAACTCTCACTCTTGGAAGTGTTTTATGACACTGAAAAACTTCAAAGGCACTCATGTCACCTGTTAGAAGAGAAGGAGCCAGGCTGCTGTAGTGGTTATTCGTTGAGTTGCTGCATTCAGCACAGCCTGCACTGCAGGAGAAAGACTGCGCTTTCTACTCCCATAAACCCTGGACTTTCTACTCCCATAAACCATTACAGTCTTGGGAGCCCACAGGGGGTCTCAGTGAGTCAGCATTGTCTCAGGGCAGTGAGTGAATGAGAGAGGGAGAGAGGAGATTGATTAGGACTAATGCTGGGTCGCAGAGATTTAACTTCGGTTTGCAGTTTATTTCTCTGAGTCTGTTATCATTCTCCACGAATGTGTGCAATCATGACTAGCATCTGTATACAATTTTATGTGCCCCGTCATACTTATCATATTTAATTTGTACGATCATTGTGAGACAGAAATTATGTTATTTTTCAGATGAGAAACCGAAGTTCAAAAATATTAAGTCACATTTTCAAAGTTCCTTAACAAATCAGTGGCCCTGGTAGGACTAGCGTCAAGGTATTTTGATTCTCAGGTTTGTTCATGTTCTTCATGTGCTTTATGCATATTTCGTCATGTCATTGAAGGTCATTAGCAGCTCCGTTGAGAATCTGATCACCTCCGTTCTTATGATTTCCATCATGACTGCACTTCAGTCACCTAAAAAACTGATCAGTATTAGACTTCTTTATTCCACAAAGCCCCTTCCTTTCCCAGTTGTTAAACCTTTCTGTTTTTCCTTCCATTATGACCGTCGGCCCTTTCATCGTGGTTGCCAAGGCCCTTGATCTTGGCATTGACTCGATGGCAGAGAATTTGGTTTTTGGAACCTTCCTGTCTGTTCCAGACCCCTATCCCTTCCTCCTCTGGGACTTCAGTTCCAAGAGCACCGATCTCCACCTCTCCTGTTTGTTTCCCCATGAAGTCCCCCCAGCCCCCGCCCACTATCCTATAAATGTGTGAGTATGCATTGTGTCCTAAAAACACAGTGGATAAAAGCTTTCAATCCTTCTACTCCTCTCAATATACAACCGGATTTCTTGTCACTGCCTACAGGTTGTAACTCCTTGAGGTTTGATTTCTGTCCCTACAAATGTTGACATTGATCTGTGGTTCTTAATGACCAAACTTGATAGCCTTTTTCAGTTCTAATCTTTATGCTCGTAATCTTGTTGAGTCCTCTGACTCCCTTGACTTCTTTTATTGAAGCTTCTTGGGTTTTCTTCCCTCTTTGTTTCTTTTCCTCTGAAGTACAGAGTTTGGGAGCCATTTTTCTTCCACAGCTCCTCATCACAGTCACATTGAGTCACTTGCCAGGCTCTGTAGGTTCTTCCTCTACAAAGACTTTTCATCCACCCCTTTCTCTCTTATTCATTGTCACTATCCTAGATGAGCCACTTAAAATCTCTGGCCTCTAACCTTCCAAATCATCTTCTATAGCTTAGCTACTTCTTGCTAAGGCACAGGACTGTGATGTCAAGATCCACTTCACTAGGGGCCCAAACGACCATCAAAACCAGTTGCTGTAGAGTTGATTCCAACTTAGGGCAGCACCATATGTGTCAGAATAGAACTGTGCCCCGTAAAGTTTTCAATAGTTGGTTTTTCTGACTGAAAGTTCCAGGCCTTTTTCTGAGGCACTGTGGGTTGACATGGAACTCCAACCTTTTGAACAAGTCAACACCTTGGGCCCTCCCAAGGTCTTAGTACTCCCAAGGATGTATACTCTATTTGAGCTAAATGGACTTTCTCCTACCTCTACTCGTCTTTTGTTTTGTTCTTTAAGCCTTACCTGCCCTGTGAAAATCATTTTAGATTTTAAAAAACCAAAAACTTTTCTTTAAAAAAACAGACACATACACACATGCTGAGAAGAAAGTGAAACTCACTTAAAGACCTTCCATCACAAGATTATCACTGTTAACATAGATAAATAGCATCATACGCTGGTCTCCCTCCACATTTGTTTACAATAATTTTTTAGAAAAACAAATGCACATTGCATAGGATTTTAAAAAAACCTACCTATTTTACTCAGCAGTATTTCTTAAAAGCACTGTTCTGTGTTATTTTGATGGCTGTATAGTATATCTGTATTTGGCTATAGTATGGTCTATCTAGATATGTAGTATATAAAGTTTTTAAGATTTGTGATCATATTTATTAAATACTTTCTTACCTCTCACCCTCCTATTAGATGTATGAGTAAATTCCTTGAGTCCAGATCTGATGATATTTGTACCATCAGATCATTGCTCAGTTTTTGGCACTCAATTTGTAGTTTGAATTGAGCAGAAAACGATATTGATTGATTAGTGCTAATGTGCTTGGTTTGAATCTCATTTCTCTTTCTCCTTTTAGCTTTGGATGAGGGGGATATTGCCTTGCTGAAAACTTATGTAAGTCCTTTCAATATATACAAAATGTAAGTGTTGTATGTGGTACTGTCCCTCTAAAATTGTCAGAAGCGAATATCTAGTAACTTAGTCATCTTCACTGAAAAAAGCTACTCAGTTTCTTTGTAGAATAGTTCAGAGAGTATTACTTGTAATAGAAGTGTTATGAGTCAATTGACTTGATGGCACAAAACATCAACACTATATAAATTATACATGAAATATTTCACATAGGTATTTACTCTGTTGAAATTATACTTGACTGAGTTGAGCTGAAATGAGGAGTTTAAATGCACAGAAAATGGACCTATACAGATAATTTTAAGAAAAATTTTATTCTCTTCTTTAATATTGGGTTGTTGGTGGGCAGGGTCAGGCACTAGTTCAAAATGCTTCTTAAAATGATAGATTCATTTTCTCTACTTTTATTTCACATGCTTTGAGATATTGATAGTTTTAAGACTATAACCATCAAAAGTTGCTACCTGTGGTTTAATCGGTGATATCAGATGTTACAATTAAACGGTCTTCCTATCCTAGGGCCAGAGCACGTACTCTAGGCAGATCAAGCAGGTTGAAGATGACATCCAGCAGCTTCTCAAGAAAATTAATGAGCTCACTGGTAGGTGACTATTCTCTCTCTCTTCTCTAATGTAATGCCAGTTTTCCTCATTGGTGAACTTGTGTTGTAAGTATTAATTTTCCTGTCTGGTAAAAGTAGATCACCTTAATAAACAAGCTTATTAATAAACTGCCTTTCACACTCAGGAAATAGCATACCTTTTAGGCAAGTCATGTTTATTGCTTAAAAGCCATTAAACTAATTAGCAAGTCAGATTTTTTTAATGAATAAAATTGGATTTTACAAAGGCTTGCTTGATTTCAGTAGGTGTTTGCCTGGTGGTTGAAGTTTTTTGTTTTTGTTTTCCTGGAGACTCCAGTAGTGAAGGTTTACAGAGTTTGACTTGAACAAAAAAACGTCAAGTACAGCAAGTGCTGACTTGGTGATTACTTTCAGTTCTGAACTAGGGGTGATTTTGCGCACCAGGGACATTGGGCAGTCTGGACTTTGGTGGTGCTGGTAGGGTGGGCTGGAAGGTAGGGAAGGTGCTGTAGCATTAAGCGCCTAGAGACCAGGTTTGCGCTAAACACCTTGCAATGCCCAGAACAGCCCTCTACCAAAAAAAGGTTATCATTCCAAAATGTCAGAAATGCTAAGGCTGGAAAACTCTGCTTTAGGTTGAAGCATTCCATTTCAGTGAATTTATAATCTTCCTCTCTGTAGGTATTAAGGAGTCCGACACTGGCCTGGCCCCACCTGCTCTCTGGGATTTGGCTGCAGATAAGCAAACACTCCAGAGTGAGCAGCCGTTACAGGTTGCAAGGTATGCGCAGTGCTCTGGCATTTCGTGTTCATCTGTGCTTTCAGCCACTTCCTAGGGTCTCGGGATACTGCAATAGAGTTCATAAGGAATTTTTGTTCTAAATTCCAAGTAAATAATTTTTAAAAAACTGCTACAAAGTGTCTGGGGTTAAAACCCTATTCCTTAAATGTTTATTTACAAATACATGAAGGTTTAGTTGTGTAAAAGATTCAAATGAGAAAAATCCAGAGCCAGAACAGGGAAGTCTCCCATTCCATCCTCCCACTCAGTGCCCCTTTTGCAGCCATAGCTGGTGATAATTCTCCTCCTCCTCATGCTTGTCTTTATGTACATACAGGTCTACAGAGAGACATCTGGTTTTTAAAAAGAAATCCTAACTGCATGTTTTAGAAATCTTCCCATGGTTTTTAATATAGTTTTGCATTCTTTAGGGGTTGTTTTTCTTTGTTTTCTTTCTTTTTTTCTTTTTTTAAACAACTGTAATCCTTAGTTTGCATGAATGGTTGTTTCCAATTTCAGTGTTAAGTGAACACTCAAATTAGCTATTTCTCTGTTTATGTATGTGCATTTCTGTAGGGTTGTTTACTAGAATTGCAGTTGTGAAAATCTGAATAATACTGGTTTGACTTGCTTATACACTAAGAAATTGGGGCAAATGCCTACTTTCTAGTATCAGTGTAATATATGTGGTTATTAGTTTTTTAAAGTTTTCCCATTTGGGCAAAAATATCTCATTGTAATTTTCCCTGTCGCTGACGCTGAGTGATAGGTTTTTTCTTTTAAACCCTTAGTAAAACCGGACCCGTTGCTGTCAAGTCAATGCTGACTCATAGAGACCCTGACAGGCTTTCCAAGGCTGCCCTCTCTACTGTAACAGCACTCTTCTCCCGCCCCTGGGCTTCTTGTTTCATCGATCCTGCCCTGCCTCTTGGGCTTTATTTTTGGGGCAAATGCTGCTCATTTGTACTAAGGAGTACGTTCTTCTCTAGTAATGTTATTCGCTGTGTAGACCTGTATATTGTTTGAATGAAAGGTAATCCCCATGGATAGGATCAGATTGAAAAGTTGTCTGAGAGCCACTATCTGGGGTTCTACTTAGTAGTCTCTGTCAGACCAGTCAATCTGGTCTTTTTTACGACTTTCAGTTTTGTTGTATTTTTTCCCCTCCCACTCTATATAGGACCTTCTACTATGATCCTGTTAAGAGTGATTGGTAGCAGTAGCCAGGCACCGTCTAGTTCTTCTGGTCTCTGGGTAATGGAGGCTCTTACTCATGTGGTTGAGTAATCCTTTGGGCTAATTGCTTCCTTGAATCTTTGATTTTCTTTGCTCTTCTTTGCTCCAGACAGCAAGAGGCCAGTAATCACACCTCCTGACCAAAGTAGGGTATACAACATTGTCTTCATGGACTGTGTTGTGCCATTTGACGTTGATGCTCCCTGAGACTATTCATTTACTGGGTTTCTATGTATGTTACTAACTTAACCCTTGGCTTTTTTCTGATAATCTTAATTGCTTGTTGAATACCTAATCCTTCAGGTGTTCTCTCAGTTATACAGTTACATCCTTCTTGAGGAAGTCTTTCCCAGCATCTTCAGGCCTGCTTCAGTTTGAAGTGGTTAACCTATGTGCCTGTGAATTACAGTCATCTTGTGACCTCTCTAACCTGGAGATGCCTTTTGCCTTTCTTGTTGCTTTTGAACCATGATGTTCTCTTTCACGGTTGATTTACCTCATTTATATTGGATACTTTCCCTGGTAGGAACTTTCTGAAAAGAGTGAATTGGAAGTACCTTGGCTGGGTATAAAGTTGTTTCTTGCAGAATTTTTAAGACATCCTCCTTTGATTGTCCTTCTCCTCCCAGTGTTTTGTTAATCAGAAACCATTCTGATGCCCAACGTAGCATATTTGACTTGAGGGTTTTGCTATGTCTCTCTCTTGTCTCGTGGTTCTGAAACCCCTCGGTGCTGTACACTGGTGCTGGTCTTTTTAGGTCCATTGCACTGGGCACTCTTGTCATGGTCTTCTGTTTGGTTAAGTACCTTGAAACTATTTGTTAACCATTTTTTTCTAATATTTTCTTCTAGACTTCCAATTGATATTGGAGTTCTTGGATTCTTCCTCTAATAAGCTATCTTTTTCTAGTTTTCTTTTCTGTTTGCTGTTTTCTGGGAGATTTCCTTAAAATTTTCAAGCTTTCAAGGATTCTTGCTGGCATATGTATGGGTTTTTTGTTGATGTGTGGGGGGTTTTGTTTGTTTTTTAATGTTCTCCTTTGCTTAAGGAGGTGGTGTGTGGCTTCCGGAAGGAGGAGAGATGAGTCTGCTTGTGTCGGCTCTCCATGAGGTGGAATTGACTTGATGGAAGTGGCTGTGGTTCTGGTTGTTGTAAGGTGTTTTCTTCTCACTGAGGAAATTAAGTTTTGAAGACTTTTGTCTCTTCCAAGATCACCATTTTCTCTTTTCCCTCCATTTTTAATGCTTGTTTGGCAATTTTTGGTGGGAGACTAAAAAGTCAATCACACTGCTTAATAGTGAGGCATGCTGCTCTCATACTCTAAGCCCTAATTTTGGTTCTGTATACGCACACTACAGAAGTTTTATGTTTCTCTCTATTCCTACAACTTATGTAGGAAGTAGCCTTCTAACACGAGTTCGGTGTTTGTGTTTATTTCATACACAGACACTGCAGAAGAGGAAAGGGAGTTAGAGACTTTATATCATGAAGTATACAGTAATATAAATTCATCTTCTGCAGATTAAACAGTACATTTGAATTGAAAATGGCTTTGAAATATGAAGTCGGAAGGATGAAAGCATATTTATTATGAAACGACGTAAAACAAGATGATTGTCAGGGAAAAGGAAAAGACCCGCTTCCGATGTAGAGGGGTCTCACTAAAAAGAAAGGAATATAATTGTGAAAATCAAGAAATTGGAGAACTGATGACGTCCTTTAGGTCAGGGGATTGTGTCTTTTATTTTTATGGGTTGGTGGCAGTTGAGTGGCCTCTCTCGAGTGAGTGCATGTTATAGGAAGGGATCTTTAGCAGCAGCCTGCTGTCTGTGGCTCTCGCTGACACCTGCCGGTGAGTATTCAGTGGGTCTTAGTGAGAACTCAGTTCCCTGAATTCATTATCGGTGGTTTAGATTCCTCTCTTAATCAAACCTTTTGCTGTGTTAGGTGTACAAAGATAATCAATGCTGATTCAGAGGACCCAAAGTACATTATCAACGTGAAACAGTTTGCCAAGTTTGTGGTGGACCTGAGTGATCAGGTGGCCCCTACTGACATTGAAGAAGGAATGCGAGTTGGGTAAGATTTCTATTTACAGCAAATATTCTTTCTTTAAAGACACCAAGTCACATGACTGTTTTCATTGAATGAGTACACGGAACAAGTAATGTATATAGTTGAATATCTTTTCTTCTGCATCTATGCATGTGCCCATCTCCCCTAGTGATTTTTGTGAATAGCTTCAGAATGTATAAAGTTAGTGCAGAATTTGAGTGTTACCGATAAGTTGACTAGCCTGTGGAGTAGGTGGAAGAAGCACTTGTTTGGAATAGGCTTACTAATTTAGATAACTTTATAGTTTAGTTATGACTGCTGCATGAGTTAATGGTGTAGAGAACTTAATTCACTCAGTACATTGTTTTCTCTTTCCTGACTTCAAATCGAAGGTTTCCTCACTGGCGTGTAGATTGTTTCCCACTTTATACAGTGGCTTAATGTCCTGAGTTTTAGTGATGTTTTTATCTTGGTATAACCTCTGAGACTCTGTCTCTCTGGTGCTTTTTAAAAGTACGATTTTGAGGATAAAAGGTTAAAAATACATGGAAAACTTGAATGTGTCTGTGAATTTCTTGTTTGTTTTTTTATTTACCTTAGTGTGGACAGAAACAAGTATCAAATTCATATCCCACTGCCTCCTAAGATTGATCCAACAGTCACCATGATGCAGGTACCCAAATCTGGAAGGGAAAAAGAATGACATGCCTTTATCCCTGGATGCCTCTCAAGAAGTTTTGAAACCTTCAACTAACAAATTATTAACTTACATATAGGTTTACTGTATCAGTGTTGCTGAACGTTTGTTAACATTTTGTCAGTAAGAATGCCTGTTAGTCTTTGTTTTACTTGTTTGACCTTCACTTTTTAGTATTACTCACCATTTAACTCACCATTTAATTCCGCTGTAGTTGTATTTAAGTCCTGCTAGAAGTCTGCCTTTTCCTTTAAAGGCTCTAGGGCTCTTCTACTGCATAGTTCATTTGGACTAGTAGTTACAAACTATAACGACAATAAGCTGTGCATTTTCGTCCCCTTGTAGGTGGAAGAAAAACCTGATGTCACATACAGTGATGTTGGTGGCTGTAAGGAACAGATCGAGAAGCTTAGAGAAGTAGTTGAAACTCCGCTACTTCATGTAAGTGGCTTAATCTGTAATATTTTAAATATCTTTGCATAAAGACGTAACAATCTTTCATGTATTGAGCACTGATATTGCTTATTAGATTGGTCATAAAATTCAATATTTCCTTAATGAAATTTTTAAGTGGAGGGAATTACAGAAGAAATATCGAGCACTGGTAAGTTCCAGAGAGATCCAGAAGAGATGCTTTGAATGGTCAAGCATGTTTACCACAGCAACAAAGTAATCTGCTAGGTGGAGTGAGAGCGGAGGTTTAACCCTTTAGCAGGCTTTGAAATATGTTCTAAAGTATTTTCGATGAAACCATGTGCTCTAATTCATCAAGCGGATAGCTTGAGAAGATAGTGGAAAACTAGGGTATTAGATGCTACTCTTGCTCTTAAAACATGGATTTTAAAAAAAAATTTTGGGGGGAGGGAAATATTAAGCCTGAATAACAAATCTCTTTAAAAGCATTATGTGTTGATATAAGTCAAATTTAAACCTTACGTCTCAGAGTAAGATTTCATAGCTCGAGGAGGAGGAGCCCTGGTTGCACAGTGGGCTCTATGCTGAACTGCTGACCAAAAGTTTGAACCCATCTGCTGTGGAAGCAGGAGGAGACTCAGCCTCCATGGGACTCACGGCCTGAGGAACTGTTGAAGTGGTTCTACTCTGCCCTGTAGGTTGTTCTGAATTAGAACTGACAGCAATGGGTTTGGTTTTTGTTTTGGTACATAGATTATGGACCTAAAAAGTTTGTTTTAAATATAGTGACATAGAATCTCTTGTTTTTATTATACACAGAAGTAATATGTAAAAATTTTGTCTCCGTCACAGCCAGAGAGGTTTGTTAACCTTGGCATTGAGCCTCCAAAGGGCGTGCTGCTCTTTGGTCCACCAGGTACAGGCAAGACACTTTGTGCCCGAGCAGTGGCTAATAGGACTGATGCTTGCTTCATTCGAGTGATTGGATCCGAACTTGTACAGAAATACGTTGGTGAGGTAAAGTAAACTTAGCACAATCAAAGAATAGTAGCTCTAAACGAATTGGGAAGCATGAATGAAAGTAAAACGGCAACTCCACCTTGAATGACCGAGGCTTGACATTTCTTGAGTGAGTGAATGTAATTAGCAGTTTAGAAACCCAGACGCCACCAGTCACCCTTTCGTGTCATTTGGAAATAGAGGCATTCCCCAGGTTATAGATGTCTGACTTGTGGGCAGCTTACCACCTACTTTTTAATTTTAAGTAAATTTGCCTTCACTTAGAAATGATTGCACTAGCTAGCCCCTAATTCTTCATCACAGACAAATTCACTGCCTTATGTGCAGCTTTTAAATCATTGGAAAGGATTAAGGCCTTTCCTTGCACTAAAGTCAGCTACATCAGAACCATATGTGCCTGTTCTGAATTAGCTACAAATTCCCCTTGCAGACAAAGCTAAGAACAGATCTCCTTTGTGACCTGGGCTGCCTGTAGACAGACACACAGAAATCTTAATCAGTATGTTCCTACTCAGAAGAATGGCGTCTTTGACGGGTCTCTGCTCTATAAGACCTAGATATGTTGCACAAATTAATTCAAAAGTATATTTTCACTTTATATTATTGTTTAATGATCTAATTTGAAAGATTGGACAAAAATTGTGTGTGGGGTGTGTATATTCACATGTATGCATGCATATATCATCTTATTAGTAAGTCTAATAACTTGCTGTTTAGTAAGTAGATCCAGAAGGTTAGTAGTTTTTAAAAGGTTAGTAGTTTTTAAAAGGTTAAAGGTTATGGTTGAGACTTGTTAGGAATTTGAAAAGTTTGAAGCATAATTTGTATTGTATTTCACAAGATTTTAAGACTAATTCTAATTTTTTTTCTCATTAGGGTGCTCGAATGGTTCGGGAGCTTTTTGAAATGGCCAGAACCAAAAAGGCCTGCCTTATATTTTTTGATGAAATTGATGCTATTGGAGGTATGAATAATATTTTAGAAAACGACTTTGCACTTAATGGACATTCAAAAGAAACATTTTGACATCTCCTAAATTGGGATAGATCTTTAATCAATGTGACAAGAAAGCCCTGGGGTGTAATTTCATTAGCAGTGGTAGGTTTTTTCCCGTTTATTTGGGTGATGATAATATTTTACTGTTTGGGGTGAAGCTTCACCCAGCATTTTGAACACTTGGCACAGGTTGTTCGATGGCATTACTTACGTTCTTAATGCACCAACAGTCTGCATGGCTTTGTTCTGGTGGTTCTATTTCTAGTCATAAAGTTTCCCCGTCCCCTTATCATCATACCCTTGCGTCAAAGTGCTGCCTCTCATAAATGAGGTGGTGATTTTCTTAGTGTACATTTTGTAAAGTCATGTTACTGTTGACTTCCGATAGCTAATGAAATACAGTATTAACTCTGCGATCTAGGCATATTATTTTACTAATCTCTGAACCTTGGCTTATTCATCTTCAGGGAATCATAATTCCTGTTTTGCTTGTTTCTTGAATTTCTTAAAGGCTCAAGTTAAGTAATGTGATAGACTTGAAAATTCTAAACTGCCCTGTAGGCATTGACAGTTGTCGTCTGTACCAGGAAGTGAGAAGTACCCCTAGTAGTTGAGAAGGGCCCGTCTTGGAAAGCCGCAGAGGTATTCCTGATAGGGGCTCGAGGAGTCCGAATTGACTTGGTGACAGTAAGTTTGGTTTGGTTTGGGGCCAAGTTGGGTTTGGACATTCTTCAGATAATGTTCTCAAAGGCCATGATTTGATCCGAATGTCTTGAGTCGTGACTCTGAGGTACTTTAATTATAGTTACCTTGCACGAGGTGTGATGGATGTCTGGAAACTTTGAAGCAGTGCCTTCCAAAGTGCATTGTGCGTAAGATGGTTTAATAGGGAGAAGGAAGAAAGTAGAATTTCTCTCTGTTTTAATCTCATTTATAAATTTTTAACAAGTATAAAAATTGTACAATTAAAAGTAAAATTTGGGGGTTCTTAATTTGTTTTCATTTTTACTCTTTAGGTTGAAATGAGAGACTGACACGAGCCTAGCATTCTGTAGTGTGTCCAAAATAGTTTAATGGTAGACTTAGCTATATTTTAAAGGACTGCTTTAAGAAATTTGGAATAGCATAAATAATATTTTTGCAGAATGAGTTTCCTACATGCAATCAAATGCTGTTTACAGTGCTAAAATTTGTGTATTGTCCAGTTGCTCAAGCCAGGTGTATATTGTGTTAAAGAGGTGTTTTTGAGTGATTTGGAAAAACAAAGCAAAATTTCAAGAAAGATTCACTTTCGAATTTGTGCAAAACATTATTTTCTGAAGTAGGGTCTGCCCAGAAGCAGGATGTGCATGTGTCCTTGAAGGCGTGCTGTGAGCTGAGATTTACAGAGCTTGCAGGTTACATATAGTGCTGTGCCCAGCAGCCAGGCTTAGTTCACTTCTTGTGTTTCCAGGGGCTCGGTTTGACGATGGTGCTGGGGGTGACAATGAAGTGCAGAGAACAATGTTGGAACTGATCAATCAACTGGATGGCTTTGATCCTCGGGGCAATATTAAAGTGCTGATGGCCACGAACAGACCAGACACTTTGGACCCAGCACTGATGAGACCGGGAAGGTTGGATAGAAAGATTGAATTTAGCTTACCAGATCTGGAGGTGAGGGACCATTTCAGAGAAAAAAGTTCTTGAGTTGTCTCCTGTGATTTATTTTTCCATTTACTCTGTCAATTCTCTAATTTTTAGGGTCGGACTCACATCTTTAAGATTCATGCTCGTTCAATGAGTGTTGAAAGAGATATCCGATTTGAATTGTTAGCCCGACTGTGTCCAAATAGCACTGGTGGGTAGAATGTTTTCTTTAAATATATTTATTGGTCTGTCAGATGATTTTAGTTAAGCCTATGTATTTTCTCTTTTCTTTGAAAGGTGCTGAAATTAGAAGCGTCTGCACAGAAGCCGGCATGTTTGCAATCAGAGCACGGCGAAAAATTGCTACTGAGAAGGATTTCTTGGAAGCTGTTAATAAGGTCATTAAATCCTATGCTAAATTCAGTGCTACTCCCCGCTACATGACCTACAACTGAGCCCTGAAGGCTGTCAAATGGAAACACTTCTTTTATTGCAATCCTACCTTACATAGACGTGTTAACCATGCATGTAAAAATAAAGGTTTTCAAAATTGCATGTTGTATTCAGCTCGCTTTTCTCTGTATTACATTAGGATCAGAAAACCAGACTTGCCAGTGAGTCAGTTCAGACTCATAACCCTACTGGGCAGAATAAAACTGCCTGTAGGGTTACTAAGACTGTAATCTTTATACAAGCTGAATATTGCATCTTTCGCCCACAGAATAAAAGGTAATGCTTAAAGGCATTAGGCAGAAATTTTTATTATAATTTATGTGCATTTTTTTGATCCACTATTTGGGAGTTTCATATATGACTGTACTGGCTTAGACTGTATGTGTTGTTAGGCACATGGTAGGTGTTGTACATAGTCTTGTATCCTCATTTGTCCAGTGGGTTGAATCTAATGGATCTTGATGTAATGGATATAAAAACTTTGTAATTTACTCAGTGGCTGAGCTAGAATTCAAGTCCAAGACTGTCAGCTCCACCACCTACAGGAGAAATCTTTATTCTCATCCTGTCAATAAAATAACCCCTCTAGACAACATATTTTAACTGGCCCTTCACCCCCAGCCATACTGAAATAATAAAGCTCTGGCCGAACTTTTTCCAAGTGGAAGAAACAATGACATGTTTTACTTTGCTTGCGCCCTTCAAATCAATCAAGCAGAATTAGTTTTTAAAAAGGTTTTTAAATAGCACTTTGGGATAAGTGTTGAGCAGCTAACCAGTAAAGTTGGCAGTTCAAACCCACCAGCTGTGCCTCAGGAGGAAGATGAGGCAGTCTGTTCCAGTCAAGATTTACTTCCTGGGAAACATGTAGGGTTTCTATGGGTCAGAATCAACTTGATAACGGTTTGTTTGGGGGTAAAAGGAATCACATCAAAGTGGCAGTGATAACTTCTGGGGAGGAAAGTAGAAGACAACACTGGGCAATGGAAGGAGGGTCGTGTGTGTGTGTGTGTGTGTGTGTGTGTGTGTGTGTGTGTGTGTGTGTGTGTGTGTGTCTATATGCATACATATAGTTTTTGGATTCTGTAAAGTTTATTATAAAAATATGGGTTATGTAGAATTTCACAGTTTTCAAACGGCAAATATACTGAAAATGAATGATTCCAATGATCAGTGAAGTGGTTCAAATGATGCAGAAAGAAGTGTGTGCATTTATAGAATAGGCTTAATACAGAGATGGTGTTTTTTTTTCATTTTATAAATTAATGTATTATAAATTGGGTAAAACTGTTAAGACTTTTGGATTAAAACCAGGTATTTCTAAAATAAAGACGGTGTTGGAATCCTCAAAGGAACTGCTTAACGTTAATTCTGTACAACCACCAACAAACCTTTCCTGCTGTGCCACAGCATCATCCCACTGCGCCCCACGCACGATAAAGAGGATTTTTATTGTGGTTCAGTATTCATAAGTAAAGAATCAAACCAGCGAGAGCGGAATACATTTTTAATTCACGGAAGGAAAAGTTGACCACATAGAAAATGCTATAAGTGTTATGTAAAATTAGTCAGGAAATATTTGTGTTTTCTTACCCTGCCCTATTTCTTAAGGTATCAAACTGAACCATTTCCAAATTTAAGCTTCCAATAAAATAGACGCCAGTGAATTACTGAACAGTACATTTTGTAATGCTTTCATTAGGTAAATATAAGTATTTAGAAGACACTCTTTGAAATCTTCCTACTTGCCCATATAGCTATACGTGCATATACATACACACCATTTCATGATAACTTACACCGAACATGTTGAGCTAGCTCAGGCCTAAGATGCTATAGACTGACAGTTACATGATGAAAACCTAACTGGCCATCCATCAAATAATGAATTTGAAAAAATTGGGTATTTTGGCCCAAGTATATGCAAAAACAATACCTTTGTATTTAACAACATAAATTCACTGCTAACTTATATGTGTTTATAAATGGGTAGACATGGGAAGTTCATGATTTAAGAAAACTACACTGCTGGGTTCCTTTAGAAAGCATGTATGTGCCTTTGGTTCAAACATTTTAAAAATGACAAGACTAAAAATTCACTTCTCATGAAGCTTCTGAGGCTCCTCTAGTAAAGTTTTCTGAAGTGGGCCCCCCTGGAACAGTCCAGGGGGCTGCAAAAACCTCCACTTCATCCTGGAAAAGGGCTGAAAAGTGAAAATGGTTTTCACTGTCAGTGGGGTGGTGAGAAATATTTGTTGTGCTGAAAAGGGGAGGTTGGCCAAGAAAGTTGGGGAAGCTTTCGTTTAGCACATAGAGTGAGATGCTAAGCACCAGTGCAGTGACAAAGCTGTAAGCCTTTCTGAGGAGGTCTTGAGAAGTTCAACCATGGCTAAATCTAAGCAAACAGCTCATTTTCAACCCTTTCGTCGGCATTTCAGAGGGGTCAAACCATCGCGTGTGTTTTGGTTGAATTACTAGCTAAAGCTCTCAGACCATATGATCAACAATCTAAACATGGAATCATGAAAAGTCCCGGAACAGTACATTGAACAAAAACCAACAGCATTTCTGCACTCACTACAGGATACAGGCTCACATGAAAAAAAAAAAAAAAGCTTACTTAGAGAATTTAAGTTGGTTGACTATCTTAAAGGGCCAGATATAATACAGCCTTTCTTTCCCTCCCTCTCTCATCCCCACACAAACCCATCACCCCACTCCCCACCCCCACCCCATCACACAGAAAAACACACCCACCTGTCCAGGGCACATGCTCTCAATCAGTGGTTCTCAACCTTCCTAATGCCTCGACCCTTTAATACAGTTCCTCATGTTGTGGTGACACGACACCCCCGCCCTCCCCCCCATCAACCATAACATTGTTTTTGTTGCTACTTCGTAACTGTCATTTTGCAATAAAATTATTTTCGTTATTACTTCGTAACTAATTTTACTACTGTTATGAATCGGGCAACCCCTGTGAAAGGGCCGTTCCACCCCCAAAAGGGTAACCCACAGGTTGAGAACCACAGCTCTAGATGCACAACCCTCTATGCCCACAGGAGGGCAGACACAATTTCCCTAAAGCACCCTCAGAGGCAGCTGCCTCCTCTTGCAGCACAGGTAAGGGGACAGGATCAAACCATGTGAAATGGATGAAGCTGATGCTTTAGATGTTAGCGGAAAACCATGACGAGCTATTCCCAGGGCTTAAAGATGCATAGCCTTCACCGTCCAAGTTCTGCCACTGAGATTGGTAGTTGGATCCCACTACTGGCTGCCGCGTGAGTATACCAAGCTGATGTGTCTGACTTCAATTTGGGGATTCCTGGCCTCTAGTTCAAGATTACTTTCAAATATATCCCATTTATCCAGAGGGCAGACAGCAGCAGCTGTGCAGAATTTGAGAAAGAGGCTTTTCTGTGGGGCCTGCCTGAAAACGGCTTTCTCATCCTGCCAGCAAACCCGGCTAGTCAAGTTCCTGTATCAATGGGATTCCACCCAAAGCTGTGTCCGGGCTGGGAAATGTGAAAAGGCACACCAACAGCTTTCAGTGTTCAGAATAAGAGATGGGCTTGCACATGAATTCCTTTACAGAATAAAAATGTATAGGGAAAAAGGTCAGAAATTCTCTGCTGTTGAGATAAATTCCAAGTAAAACATCCCAACATCTTTACATGTAGATAAAATACTTTTGAAATGCACTCGCATGCTAAAACAAAAAATATATTTTCCCACCTTCTGTAAGACCTAAGTGCTTTTTATATACATGGTGGAATCCTGTTCAAAATCAAAAGTTAGAAGACAGAAAAGTCCAATATAAATTTATAAGTTAGAAGCACAAATACTTTTTCTGTACACTCACTATTTTAAATCTCCCAACAACTAGGGCTTGAGTATGTCCTGTGGGGCAAGCATGTGTGTAAAACGTGCTAAAGAATGTGCAATGAAGCAGCTACAATCTTTCAATTGTTTAAAATGTTTTAAATCCTTCAGTGCTATGGTGGCTGGTGGAAAAGATGGGCCTTTTACCAAAGTTCCTGGCTGAGCTTCTACAGCTGCGAGTTCTTTGAGAAGGTAGTCTGGGTCAGAATCACACGCACCTGGCCTTGTGTGTGGTGACTACAGATGAAACAACGGGACGCAAATCTCTGTTCACACTAGAGCTTGATAAAGTCGCTGAGAAAAACATGATCGGCATCACAACACAACACAACAAAACAAAAAACTGCACATAGCATGCGATTTGGTTTCCCAAGCAGACCCATGCGGATACATTTTGCCCTGGGGTCTGATCTCTCTTCTCCTGGCATTACTGTCTTCGTGAAGATGGAAACAAGGAAACAGTAGGAAAGCACAGGAAAGACAAACTCACTGTCACACAGAAATCTCTCCAGGTTGGCCAACGCCTGCACTTTGACGTACGGTGAGCTGACAAAGCCCGCCAAAACCCAACGCCACTCAGTGACTCCGAATCTCGACAGGAGCAGACAGCTTCACCTTTTCCTGCAGAGCAGCTGGTAGGTTTGAACTGTCAATCTTGTGATTAGCAGCCCAAAGACTACCCCAGTGCCACATGGTGAACTGGCAGATATAATTAGAAGTACGAATTTTTCAAGGACTAATTGGCTTAAAGGTTACCTCCCCATCCCTCTATTTTGAACTCTCCATAAGGCTTAAAACTGAGTTGTAAACAAACTGCTAAGGGTTGGGGCCTGCTAAGGAAGATACTAAATCAAGCCAGGGCGGAGTGACGGATGGGGGTGTGGTTAGCTCTATTTGAAAACATAGCCCATTATTAGCAACAACAGCAAAACTTCTAGGGGCCTCTGACCACAGCTTCGACAATTTGACCATCAAAAAGAATAGCTAAAATGGATTGGAACACATTAATGATGTAAGAATCTATATACTTAAGGAATAAACATTTTTAAAACACAACTATGCTGACATTTTAACGTAACTATTAAACCAGCTCCCTCGTCTGAAAGTTGTGAAATTAAATAAGTAATAAAACATCCAGCTTGCCTTTCCGGTAAGAACTAGTGCAAATAGCTACGTCAAAAAGAAAAGCTGCAGTTGAAACACTGACTGATAAATGCAAAAGAAATGAGAATGTGAGGGAAAATACCCATGCACATTATGAAAATGACTGACTTGGTCGAGGGTCAGCGGTTGCTGGAAAAATTCCTATATGAATGCCCACCGCATTCATCTGAATGGAACACCATATAAACGGCTCACTGGTCTCAATGAGTCGGCGCCCTCCCGATGGCAGGGAGTTTGCTCTGGAACGTCACAAAGAGACTACAATGGAGGACTAAGATGGTGCTGACCAGAGGCCTATCTTGGCATCGTCAATCGTAAGCCAACCATAGTCTGTGCTTTCTGATGAGACACAACATAAGGCCTACATTATCACTATGATGTATTCTAGCCAAAAAATATGTAACGTGATTCCACGGAGACTCTGGATGTAACTTCAAGATTGCAGGTAGCTCAGGGAATAAAGGTACAAGCTAAACACCACGAGAGGAATTAGACACATTCCCAAGATTCTGCAGGACAACTGCTCTGGTTTCTTTAGCCAGTCAATGTCTGACGAACGGGCCCAAGTTGGGTGAAAACAGATGTAAATAACGCTAAAGGACGCAACTAGTTGCAGCATATGATCACAGAATGACTCCATTTGGATGAGTCAACTGCAAATGTAGGATGACTTCAGTATCGGTATGAGTCAATTGAGGTACAAAATGTTTTGGAATGGGAACTTGATGATGTTGACTGACAAAAATAGACCATGAAACACGAGGTAGAGAATTATTTTTAGTCCACAAACATACAGAAATGCATAGAAAAAGACCTGAAAGCTATGCATTAAGGTGGTAATAGTGGTAGTTGCCCAGAGAAATATGACATTATTTTTGCTTGGTCTACTGTTTATAACTCTCTGCGCTGTACTTCTATTGCTTCTAAAGTAATACAAGATTATTTTAAAACAAGAACAGGTAGAAAATGATGGGTTTCCTTCCTGTGTTCGGTAACCCTGATGACAGAAGGTCTATAGACCAACAAGTACCTAAACCCATTCATCTGGTGACAGACAGCACATCGCTTTTGTAGGTAAAGCATTTAGAGGAAACACATTGTTATGTGCTTGGTTTGCAAAGAAAATACTAAAACGTAACAGAAACATCACTGCATCATCAATGCAGGCAAGAGGCCAATCTGAATTATCCTTGAAATAGTCAGTTTTAAAAACCACAGACACACACACACACATACACGTAAGGTGCATCTTGCCACGTGCCATTCACCCTCCAAATCAAGCCCTGACTACTAGTCTGGAAGCTTAGAAAAAGATCCTAGTGTCTAGTATTTAACATGTGGAAAATCGTGATTCGCAAGAGGTTCTTAACGGCGCTAGGCTGAATCTGTCCTCTAGGCCTCTGGAGTGGCGTTGGGCTCAGAGTCCTCCTGGGGCGGAAGGGCCGTGGCTTCTTGTTCAGCAAGGGCCTCTCGGGCTTGGCTGCCTAAGACTGCATCGTGAATGCTATAGAACAGCAGAGCCAGTAAAGCAGGATTTTCAAAAAAGTTATTTCGAGTGAGGTCGTTCACGACTTGAGCTGTGGAGAGAAAAGAACGTTAGGCCCCCTCTCTCGGGATGTCAGACTAGAGCACTCAAGAGAAAAGACAGGTAACCGCTGAGACTGTTGAAATACAACACACCGTAGGAAGGCAAACTAAAATAACTTTAATAATGAAAAGCCTCACTCTAATCCCTGTCCCTGCCATGCCATACCGGCCAGTCCCAGGGAGCTGCTTTTTATGCGCTTCACGAGTAGTCTTCCAGTTTCTCTCAATGCAACTATATGTGAACATAAGCACATTCCCCCTTTTCCCTACCCCAAAGATAGCACACTAGATGTACTCCATGGTATGCTTTCCTAAATCATTTCATTTTATGTTTTCACCACTGCACAGGAAGTCTGGAGGTGTAGTGGTCGTTACTCACTGGGCTGTGATCCGCAAAGTCCGCATTTGAAACCACCAGCCCTCTTCTACTCCTGTAAACGACTGCAGTCTCCGAAACTCTCGGGGCACTTCTACCCTGTGCTAGAGGGTCACTGTGAGTGGGTTTCCCCTTGAAGGCAGTGAGACCAGAGCACGGCATGCTACAGAATGGAGGTACCCTCCTTTACTTAACTGGTCCCCTAAGCTCTGGGCGTTATCAGTCTTTTGTTTTGATAGACAATGCTCTAATGATGCAGCCACGTGCATGTGCTATTTTGAAGAGGGGCAGCACATTGCTGGATTTACTGGGTTAACCGTGTGTTTGTCATTTTGAAAGACACTGCAGCCAGCCCTTTGCACCCCTACCTGTGAGCAGTGTGTGAGTCCACCCCCCGCCACAATCTGCCTTTGTTGTTAGACGCTTGACATTTCGGTCAATCTGGCAGGTGAAAAATGGTATCTTTCCATAGACTTCATTGTTAAACATGGTTTTAACCAAAATTTAGTGGCAACAAAAATCGCAAAGAAGCTATTCCAAAATCATTGGGTAGAAAAACAAGGTACCTGATAATTTTACATAATGATAATATATTGATGGTAGTCATTAAATGATAACCCAAATATCCTATTCCAGAACAATAATGTGGGTGCTCTCCTCCAGTTCCAATTCCGGGGCCCCCTGAAATGAACAGGGTAGGTGGCTGTGGTAGTTACATAAGCTAGTGTCAACTTGAGACTATTAAAAGTGAAGGGGTGGAGTTCAGTTTGTCAATCAGGTGCAGCTTGACGACCTCATTTGGAGGCACTCTGGAGGCCGGACACACTGATTTGTCTCCCAGTGAGACATTCCTGTTGACAAGTCATGTAGAGCTAAACTGATGGAGCCAGAGCCCTGGAGCTGGAGGAGCCACGTGGAGGCCCACGCCAGCACTGAGATGCTTCCACCAGCACTGGATCCACAAGACTTTCCACCCACTGACCAGCAATCTTCCTGCATTCAGTGCCATTGCATGTGTTGCGTGAGTCTGAAGAAGAACTTATAGACTGGTATCAGACACATGGGCTACTATTGGATTTATGGACTTGATCTGGACTGGGCTGGGATGTTTTCTCAGTATACAATTACTCTTTAATATGAAACTCTCTCTTACATACATATGAGTGTCTCCCTGGATTAGTTTCTCTAGTCAACCTGGACTAACACAGTAGCTAATTTCAAAGCTGGTTTTAGAGTGATGTTCAGTCATTTTATTTTTTCCCAAAAGCAAAAATGAAGGGAGTTATTTCCAAATGTAGTTCTTAACCTAGAGCAACAAAACCAAGATGCTAGAACTTCTCCCATCATCCAGAAGTCTACTCACCACTGCATCCTGCAAAGTACACATAAATACCGACATCGCCATATTCTTTGACAATCTGTAATAAGGTTGAAATAAAGTTTAGTTTCTCTTTCTTTCCATCAGATGAACATCTCTTCCTATCAATCAGTACTTCATAGATAAAGGAAACTGGTTCATTCATTTGGGTTACCTACATTCAGTGAGTGTTTTTGAGCTTATCTAAAAACAACTTTGTACTTCTTTAGATTTTTATACAGGCAGTGATAGCTAGAACTATTGGGAATTATTATTCACTTGACGGATACTAATCAAGGCATCATAGTGACATACACTTTCTTAGAATCAGGGACTCCTCGAGGGATACACTGGGCTATTACCAGGTGAAGGGAGACCTGGCTGTGCTGGAAGATGGATGAAAGAAGGTTGACCGGCAGTGCTAATGGTGGAGCCGCGTCATAGGCACAGGCAGATTCTTTAACACCAGACTCTTCACATTTTCATATTTTTGAAAATTTTCAAACATTTGGAAACCAACCAAACAAAAAAGAACGAAAAGCTGGAAAACCCAAACCACTCTAGTTTGACTGATGGGACTGAGCGCAGAGACACTCACTGCGGGGCTGGTTTAGGATGATGCTTACCCCTGCCAGGGTTTTCACTCCAACAGAGTCAACAAAATTGACCTGTGTGAAATCGAGAACGACCGTGTGGATGGTGTCCCCCGGAGGCATGAATCTCTGCATCTCTTCGGGAAATGTGCTTTTGATGACAATCGGGGGATATTTCATCTCGTCGGCCTCTTCCTCAGGCTTGGCACCATCTTCTCCATCAGCCTCTGCGTCCTGTAGCAAGCATGAAGTCAACCCTGCGCTCCACGAGCGACGCTTGATTTTACTTCTCAGCAAGACGGATAAGGGAAAGTCAGAGTCTGCCTTCATGTTCTCAGGCTCCAGGCGCCATGAGATGCCATCTAACACATTTGTCACCGCTCAGCCTTGGAAAGCATCAAAAAGGAGACAAGCCTAACATTCCGTGTGTGTCCAGTTTCTTTCCCCTCCACGTCTTTTAACCCTATGAGTCGCTCTCCTTTGTAGTCATATCTGTCTCTAATTTCTAAAATAGTTCCAGTAGCTTTAGCGTACCAGGTTACAAACTACCATAATCCTAAATAAAAAACGCTGCCTTTACGCTTTTAAAATGAAATCTTCAATAAAGTACAAATGGTAAACTTGACTGAGGTGCTGTGTGATTTGCATTCTGCTTTCCACCTGACTTGTTCTTGTGAATCGGATGGGGTTACTCTCAGATCCTCACGTTTGCACTCACTCACTTATTAACCCTTCTCCTGGCTTGCCTGAATCACGTTGCCACCACCAACCACCACCACCACCCTTCCTTTTCCCATCTCTCTGTTAGGGAACGTCTTCCTCTTCACCCAACTTAATACCTATGGTTCTATAGCCTGTTGCTTCCCCTGTGATTTTTATTCTTTAAAACAATGCTTTCTTGGACTGACATCACTACTTATGGTCAGAGCATTCTTGTAGCAGATTCTCCCCTGCACATGCAGCTTTAGTATAGAAAGGACGATTTCTACGCTTCCCTATGCGGTTGCACTGCAGATCAAGAGCGCTGAGAAAATTACAGCCAGGAGACCACTCACGGCTTTGACGACAGTTGCGTTGACCATGTTTGCATTTCCGACTTCCTTTGCGTACTTCTTCATGGCCTTTCTCCGGGCGCTCATTATGAGGGCTGGGTTCACGCCCGTCTGTACAGAGGAGCAATAGGTGCAGAATCACTTGGCGGATCTCAAACTCAAGACTGAACTCACTGCCATTGAGTCCATCCGGACTCATAGCGACCTGAGAGGACAAGGCAGAACTGCCCCAGTGAGTGTTCCAAATGGTAACTCCTTCCGCTGAGCCGCAGCTGGTTGCAAACTGCTGCCCTTGCAGCCTGCAGCTCAACACTTCACCACGGACGCTGCCTGGGCTCCAATGGCTCTCGAGACCCCACGAACTGCAATGTGACTTCTAATCTCTGTACATACGTGCTTTCTATGCCACGTTCTCCCCTCATCCTCGCAAGATCTTCCCTCAGCTTCTCTGATCTGTGTTATATAGTAGGAGGGAGTAACAAGTGTTTTATAAGAAATGCTTTAAACTATCATACATGTGTATATCGATCCTTCCTTACTACGGTAATAAGACCATACAATCTTAAGTTACAAACGTCCTATCCCATATGAAAACTGCGTGACAAAGCAGAGGATCCTAGTGTATCCGTGTGCTATGGTGACTGCCTCCTCAGGCTTCCACAGACGTTTCAGATGTTGTTGCACACAGGATGGGTCTGTTTGAGCAGAGGGCCAAACTACAACTGGACAATATTCACTTAAAGAATTTTTAAAAAATCATATTATTGGGGGCTCTTACAAATATTATAACAACTCACAAATCAATTATATCAAGCAGACTTGTACATGTGTTGCCATCATCATTTTCAAAACATTATCTTTCTACTTGAGCCCTTATTATCAGCTCCTCTTTCTTCCCTCCCTTTCCCACTCTCCCACTCTCATGAACCCCTGATAAATGATATATATATATATATATATATTTTTTTTTTTTTCATATCTTACACCACCCACTGTATCCTTTCACCATGTTTCTGTTATTTGTCCTCCTCAGGGGGGAGGGTTTATACATCCATCATTGCTATCAGTTCCCCCTTTCTCCGCCTTCCTCCTCCACCCACCTCCCACTTCCCTTCCCCTCATGGTATCAATATTCCCAACACTGTTTCTCAGGAGTTTTGCTCCCATGTGTTGAAAGCTCTTATCTGTACAGATGTACATAATCCAGTCTAGCAGAGTTTTGAGGGAAAATGGGGTCATGATTGTGGGTGGGTGGGTGAGGAAGCATTAAAGACCCAGAGGAATGTTGTGTTTCATCAATGCTATACTGCAACCCGGCTGAATTGTCCATTCTGTGTGACCCTTTGTGAGGGAATGTCCAATTGTCTGCAGATGGACATTGGGCCTCTACTCAAGCACTCACTCATTGCAAGAACACGTTGTTCTATAAAATTGGCATTCCAGAATGCGCACCTTCCCAACACAATTGCTGAAGAAAAATGTGTG